TCCAGTCCATCCCTAATAAATACAGAAAGAAAGTGGCTTTTCTGTGGTAGTTACATGTTTGCTCTTCAGGAGCTATTGGCTGCAAACAGAACTTTGAAACTTTTCCCTTCCAATTTCACTGGCTCTGACCACACAGGTTAGACTATTCAGGGAGGTAAAAGAGAGATGTACCAGTTTATGATTTTTTGCAGTAAATATTTAGCTCTTATAGATATGCATGGCACAGCATATTATTGGAGCCAGAATTACCCTCTCTTGGAATGTCTTCTACAGGGATCTTCTGTTTTTCAACAGTTTTGTTCTCTTTTCTGATTCTTGGTCACTCATGCTGTCCGTGTCTCCATTGATCTCTGAACTTGATGTAAGTGCTGATTAGCTGCAAGAAGTGCTGCAGAGCTTCCCTTTTCAAATCCTAGTCCCTGTGGGAAGGAAGTGGAAGCTGAAGGTTGTGCTCATGTTTTACTTAGTAGACTGGAAGTGTGCTTTCTTTCCCAGAGCTTTAACTTCCTCCTTATCTTTTTGGATTGTTACTTTGCATCCAGCTTAGTCCTTATATCAAGCATCAGTACCAGAAGAGATGTGTTTGCTGTTAAGAACCAGATCTTGGTGGTCTGTATTGCTAGCCAGAGGTTCCCAAGTGCATGTTCTTCTTTCTGGAAGCATGCTCAGCTGTATCCCCGTAACATGGAGTATCATCTGTTGGAGCTCCGTACCCTTTGCCCCTTACCCTTTGACATCTCTATCTCATTTTCACAGATAAAACAGATCTTGGAATGAACCAACGAACCAGCTTCTCTTTGTTTTCCATTAGTATCCTTTTGTGCTTAGGACTTACGTGGACAGGTTCCTCCATGTCTAAGCAGCTCAGCATGAATGTTTGCAGATAATTTTTAGAGCTTTCACAGATTACATTGTATCTTAAGACATTCAGTACTTAACACTTCTTTGTTGCTTACTGTTAACACAGCCACTGCAGAAGCATCATGTTGCCTCAGGATGGTTCCTACCTCTTGTATAGCTTCTGTTCAGAGTAAACTCTTCCCATGTATGGGTGGCTTTTTTAATTTCCCCACATTCACAGGGCCACAGGATGGTTCAGGTTGGATTACAAGCTCAAGAGGTCTGTAGTCCAACCTCCTGCACAAAGTAGGGTCAGCTGTGAAGTCAGGACAGGTTACTTATGGCTTCATCAAGTCTAGAAACAATACAAAACATGGGGTGTTAAATATACTCTCACTTTTGTATTTGAACAGGACACTGCCTTTTTTGAAGACCCCTGAGTTTTTTGTTTTGTTTGGGGTAAGGATTTTTGGTTCAGTACCTTCTTCTCATTGAATTTTTGGTTGTGTCAGGAAAAGTGGTGGTGGTGGTGAAGCCAGCTGATGTCATTTGAATATTCTTGAGTGAACAAGTCATGCTTTTGCATTTCTGAAAAGTGTTCTTACTATGGTAATGTGCAGAACTGTCTCATAAACCTCTAATCATACCTTTCCTAGCTATGTCTCATAGCTGGGGACTCAAAATAGGAGAGAGAGGTTATCAAATCAAAACAAATGGAAACAAAATACCCCCTCTCCCGGAGTTCTCCCCCTGAAGACCTAAATCATCCCAGAAGGGTTTGCTCAGGAAGGTAGATGAGCTGTGAATGTACATTTTTTTAATTGTTTTTTTGCAAATGGGAAGAATCATTTTGAGTGAGAAGATTACTTGTCAGTATATGGAGATTCTTTCATATATGTTGTCCACATATGTATTTGCTATATGCTTATGTTATGTGCCCTGAAATATGTAAAAAATTTTGAGTATATGTGTTAGATAAACAAGGTGAGCTGGGGATTATGAGTAAGGTAGTGCATAGTGTGTTCTGTGCCCTTTACACCACGTGCTTGAGGCACTGAAAAGACAGGACACAGGCACAATCTAGAGCATTTTTAGGGCTAAAGATGTCTCCAAATTGAATATATGATATATTCATATGTAGAATATGCTCTGGACAGCAGTTTTAGCAAGAACTGGAAGTTTTTCAAGAATCTTTCCTTCTTTGCTTAATAGTTTAGCATTATCTTTATTTACAACAGTTTCAACAATATACACATATCTCATGGTTACTTCTGGTTTTGTGCATTTCTCTGAAAAGATGCTCCAGGTTTATTTCTACAGCTGAAAAGGCTGAATCAAGTGGGTTATAAAAATTCATTGTTGTGTGGGATATTCTACTCAGTAGCACTAAATAACAAAAACATGGTTGTTGTCGATTTTTAAGGTGTGCCTTTTATATCACGGCTGCTGTGATCTGTCTGGAAACATTTCTTTGTATTACCTTTGTTCGACCTGGGTGATTTATCAGGAGTTCTTGATTTTTTATTTTTTTATTTTTTTTTAGTTTCAAGGAAAAAGTGAACTTCTGCCAACAAATTTAAGTATGGTCCACCCATGCTGCAAGAGAGCAGGAGCCATATGGCCACAATTAGTGTAGTTGTAAATGAGTAAGTCAGTCCTGGTGACAGGCATGGCATATTTACAAAGTTTTGTTTGCCTTCCTAACCACAGTAGCGCAGCTTCCTGTAAGAGTAGTGTGACTGTGTGTGGCTCTGCAGAAAACTGGATAGTGTTACTAGTTCTTGGTTTATGGTTAATTTTGACTTTGATTCAATTTTCACTTCAAGTATCAACCATAAATTTGAAACTAAATCTAAGCTGAAGAAAGGACTTCTATTTTTTTCTCCAAACAAATGCTGATAAATAAATAATATAAATATGGGTAATGGTTTAAGGAAAAAAAAACCCTCCTGACTGAGCAAAACTAATCACTAATACAGTCAAATATTATGTGCCCAAAGGCATATTTTTGTTACCTCAGTTTTAGCTGAATGTTTAAGGCATTCACTAATATTATGTGCTCTGTGTTGGTTTGCCACACATGAAGAATTTTATAATTTAGGCTTTTTTGTCTCTATAAAACTCTTTGGCTATTGCAGTATTACAGAATAATCGTTAATAATTCTGGAAGGAGCAGAATATCTTTAAATGTAGATGACCTTTGTTTTGTGTTAAAATCTAGTTATATTTGCATAATTTAACTTGGTTGTATTTAAAGGTACTTAAACACAGTTTAAACAGCAACCACTGCTGAGGGCTGTTTTAGAAGATTGTGGTTTTATATACCTCAGCGCTGAGCCATTGCACTTATTATTTCAAAGGCTTTTGGTGTCATAGGTCATAAAAGTTACCAGATTTTAATTTGGATCAACTGCCTCAAATCTACAGCTCAGGCTTTTCTGCAGCTGTGCTTTTAAAGATACATGGTTTGGTTGTTTTTTTTCTTTTTAGCCCTGAGAAGGGATAAGATTTCCTTTTTTGTTATCACTTCTTTTTTTTCCTCTTGTTTATTTTAACATACAATTGTCTACGCTGGGTGAGTGTCATACAATTGGAATACCTTCTACTGAAAAAACAGGGAAAAGATCTGTCACAATGAAAGCTAAAGTCATCATGGTGGAGAGGGGAGCATACACAGGAGTTTGCCTGCTTTGATCTCCTTCACGTGCTTTGAACAAAGGCAACTTCAGCTCCCAATTGGCTTCTTTAGTTAGAAGTAATAAGTGGATTACATAGTAAGCTATCATTTCTGGTCATTGGATTCAGTGCTCTGGCCAGGTAAATGACCCTTCATATAGGACAAATTTTTCCAAATAATGCTAAAATCAAGCTCTGCAATATGTTTCAAAATTATAATCTATTCAGTTTCATAAAACTGAAGGGTATTTTTCTTGGAGATCTAGCATAGCAAGTAAATGTTGGGGATGGCACACTGTATAAAAAATAAAGTAAGCAATTACTTTGCCAGTGTGTTATGTACATATTTGAATGTCCTGGATTTCCTACTGCTTCATGAAAATTTAAACCATCTGGATTTGGTTTTAGTTTCTGATCTTCTGCCATGACCCATGCCATCACCTAAGCTATTTTTATGCAGTATGTAATACCATTAGCTATCCAAGCTTACGAGTGTCTTTCTCGCAGTAAGCATAAGTATTCTTATCACGTACATATCTCCTGTACTTCAGTTTTTGTTTAAACATGGACTTGTTATTGGGTTTAGTGCTGTGTATTTAATGGTTTATATTTCAGAAACAGTCTCCTCAACTGAAAGTTCTCACAAGATTTTACCCCAGAGTTGTTAATCATTGACATACAATGGCAGAGGAACTTCAGAGCTCTAGGAGTGAAGAACTATTTCATTACTTTAAGCTTTGTTGAACTGTGTGACAAACTTTGGGACCTCTTTATTCTAATTTTATAGAAAAATAAAAGCTATTGTGTTTTTGTTATAGGCGAGATGGCAGGCTATTTCCTGTACCTTTCACCCTCCCTAGCAATCTGTGTGACAAATTTTTGCTAAGTCACAGAATGGTCTTCTCAGTGTATCTCAAACTCATCTGTACGCTTTTGGTTTTCTTGGGTCAGGGTGTAATGTGGAACTGAACCTGGTATTTCTGATATGTAGCTCAAGACGACTATTGCTTACCGAGGCTGTTCCAACCATGCTTTCCAAATAATATATGTGGATGGGATTACTTTCCTTCACTTTTGGTCTTGTGTGGTGTATGACCCAGAGTTGTATGATGGGGATAAAAGATCACATGGACATGCAGGCTTATTCTGTGCTCCATGTACACCTTAACTATGCTCTGTCTTCCTAATGTGTCACATGTGACAGAGACAAAGACTATATTGTTGTAGTGTTTTGTTTCCCCTGTGTGGTAGTTTACTTATGCAGTGGAAGGATACAGGTTTTGTATGTAAACGTGTTCCTTTCACATTTCAGGAGCATAGTGGTCAGAGCTAGAGAGCTCTAGTCAGCACTTAGCAATTAGTAACTCTGCTTTAATTGGATGGTCTTTGTTATTGGAAAGTAGTGTTTGCTTAAATCTCACATTAAATATTTTTTAAATTAACAGTTATTTTGTTTCTAAGTATTTTTCCAATTCTCTCCCTAGATGGTAAAAGCAATCCAAGTTCTACGTATCCATCTGCTTGAGCTAGAAAAAGTTAATGAACTCTGCAAGGATTTCTGTAGTCGTTACATTGCCTGCCTGAAGACAAAAATGAACAGTGAAACTCTATTAAGTGGAGAGCCTGGAAGTCCTTATTCACCTGTGCAATCTCAGGTATGTTTCAAATACAGTTAAGTGTATTTTTGCTTAGATTTCCTTGGGAAGTTATAACTACACTTCTATTGCTATTAGTTTGCAAACAGTTTCTGCAGTTTCTTTCACTTTCTCAAAATTGGTTATTAAGAGTTGAAAGAGCTGTATTTTTTTGTGCACACCTGTGTGCCACTGCCTGATGGACAAATTTGTTGAAATGTACCAGAACACTTTTTTTGTCTGTCTTCCTTTTATGATTTTCCCTCAGTGCAGCAAATGGAGATATTCAGAATAGCCTGCATTTGCTATTTTGTTGGAAGGAGGCTAGGAAACAGTAAACAAAGGAGAGGAAAAAAAATTCCTTGTTAAGAAGGTCTCCTTAGTCTAGTCTGCTTCATTAAAATATTGAGATGGCTGATACTTTCTATACACAATCTGTATTCTGGAACAAATAGACAATGTCTGAGGGATTATAGTTGCAATATTTGGGATGTATGTCATTGCATGTCACCTGGGGTGACTGTGTAGTTATGAACAGTACCCATTTCTATACATGTGAATCTCGGTTTATATATTGTTGACATTACCTAAATGCAACAACCAATTGCATTTTTTGTAGTAAATTGACAACAGTTAATTAACTATAGTTAGTACCTTATGGTCGATGCTTCTGCTGTTAGGTGCTGGAAAGTGAGCCCTGCCATCCAAGTACCTACTAGATATCTAGTCTTAGGGAATGGTCCTTCTCTGACTTACTAATGTGTCTGATGCTATGTATTCTGAAAAGCCTCAATGACTTTTAAACTTCACTGTCTCGACTCCTTACTTAGGTTTTGGTGTCTGGAAGTGTGGAAAGGAGAGTCTAAAAACAGAAAAAAACAACTTTTAAAAGACATTTTTTGTATGTCTGTTACAGTCTTCTGTAGAGACAGAATTCAGACGGACTGAATTTTGCATTTGGGAACAATAGAGATTATTCATACATATTAAGGAATGTGTAAGAGTTTGCATGGTCAGGGTTGAGTAAGAACTATCCTGAGCAGAATAAAACATATTGGGCATCTTGAATACTTAATATGTTATTTTGAAATTGAAGGAATTAAGGTAATAACTAAAATTGTAACGCTTTGATGCTTGTAATAAGAGCATCAAGGGTCCATTTCATCCGTCCCTTTTCCCTTGTGCCTTTGGAAACAGTTTCTCTTAGTGTTATGTACCTAGAATAATTTCTCTCCTAAAATTTCTCAGGATAGTTTTATGTCTTTTCTAACAGTTGCTTTCATGAGGGTTTTCAAAGGTAATGGTTGGTGATAATGAGAAAAGTAATGTAGGTAATGATGAACCTCTAATGAAGTCTCTTTCTCTTTGAAGTTAATCCTGTGATTAAACTCCAAATGTATTTTTAGAGCCAAAATTACACAAGCATGCTTTATCGCCTTAAAAAAAAAAAAAAGAAACTTTTTAAAAAAATGCAAGCAACTAATTGTTTTATTTTTCTAGCAAATTCCAAGTGCCATTGCAGGCACACTCAGTCCCCAAGGGATTATGGTGCCAGCATCAGCATTGCAGCAGGGAAATGTAACTATGGCAACAGTAGCAGGTATGACGGAGTAAAGAAAAACTCGCACCTTGCTATTCATTTTGGTTTCTTTTATAGTTGTTACAAAAAATACACAAATACTTTTAAAAATGTGTTTTAACTCTTAATACCTGAAAAGTTGTTATAATACAGTCAAGTGCCTTACTGGTTTCTGAACGTTCATTTAATTTATATGTGTAACAAGTATGCATATGTGAGTGGAGGTTACGTACATATAATATTAAGAGATCTTTCTGTGCAATGCTACTTTTGTTTAAAGACGTTTCAGAGACTGGGGTGTTTTACTCTTTCTTCCCCCCCTCCCCCCCTTCAAAAAAAGTATTCTGTTTGACAAAAACATGCATTACCTAAAATATTGCACTTGCTAGCTGTCTCGTGCTCTGTGGAGTTTGGAACCACAGCTACAAGTCTGTGAAATCATTGATGTCCAAGTTGTTCTACTATTGTATGGAGATGACATTTGAACTGGAATGTTTTATCTTGCTTCTAAGCAAGGTTTTAAAACGAACAAATGGAAGAAAACCCTTGAGTACAAATGCAACAAAGCAATGCGGTCTGCTCCTACAGCATGTACTTGCAGAGAGGTTATCCTGAGACACAGTATGTGCTCTGTGGCTTTGGTCCCCACGACCCCCTATGCATTCACCAAGATTCTGTCACCTTAGTTGACCTGAACATCTAGGTGTCACCCAGCTGACTGCCCTAGCCAGTCGACACACATAGGTGTGGCTTTGGTGTTATGACCCTTGTTGGCTGAAGAGTTAGTTCATCAGTTTGTTTTAACTGAGCTATTTTATAGCCTGATAGTCATGGTGTTTCTCAGTTAAAACAAACTGATGAACTATTTTATAGCCTGATAGTCATGGTGTTTTCCTTTGAAAATAGATTTAAAGTGGCTAAAATACAGGGAAACATAATCAAATTTTTGTGGATGGAAAAAAGTTTAGTGTAGCAAAGAGCACATCTTACATGCTTACTAGAAAAGAATAGTTGATATATTATCAAAACTGTTGTATTGTCTGCAGTGCTGATGTGTTTGTGTGTTTAAAGAGAATAATATCTGAAGGGCTTTTACTTACCTATAATCTTTGTTGCTGTTTCATTTTAAGGGGGGACAGTGTATCAGCCAGTCACTGTGGTCACTCCACAAGGTCAAGTGGTGACACAAGCACTGTCACCTGGGACTATTCGTATCCAGAACTCTCAGGTTTGTTTCATGGGCTTCACAGAATAGAATTTTGGGTTCAAATAAATCTCACTGGTTTTAAGAGTTTGGGTTTAATTTGACACACTGTCAGAATGAACTCTGTGTGTACACACATAGTAACTCATGTAAAATTAATGCAAGCACTGCTATAGGAGTTACAAGTTGTATAACATGGCATAAGGTCCCAGAGGGACCTCCCTTGCCATGACAGGTCATCATAGTTCCTACCTGTTAAGTATCTTTTTTTACTGATGGCAGAAAAGTATAGGTACATGGATTTTAAAAAAAAAAAATTAAGAAGAACCCCCCACCAAACCAAAAGATCCTCTGAATTAAATAGACACTATTTTAATGATTAAAACTCTTCTAGTTGTTGAATTAGGTTTATGGCTGGGTAGATTTACTATATTGCATTATGGTGCCACACTGCTGTTATCAGAAATTTGACTTTTTATCATGATGGCAACCACTAGTACTGTGAAACTGTATGTATTTCAGAACTTATGTATGTTGAGAAGCATTTTGCCATAAAACCTTCAAAATACTCAGTTGAGACTATGGGAGATCCTCATATTGGGCTCGTTATATCATACCCTAAAAGATAAGGGCCAGCACTCTTTTTTGGAGAGGCTCTTAAGAGTTGGATCTGGAGAGCTCAAAGAAACAACTAAGGAAAAGGAAACATGAGAACTAGACCATCTTCAGTTACGGAGAACCTTGCTAGCTTTCTCTTGGAGCAGGAAGTGGTAAATCAAATCTTCCAGGAATCCGGAATCAATTAAAAATGTGAATGAGGAGCTACCATCTCCACAGCATAGGATCTGTTGGTAATCACTGACTCACTGTCTTCTCTTCTTCCTTCTTCTGACCTTCCAACTGAAAAAGTATGCTTAGAGTATTCTTTTTATTGGCAGTAGTATGTATGTACTTGCCCATATTCTTCCCTAGAATGCATGCAGTTCTGTCCTCGGATACCTTTCAGAAAGAAATGAGTAAAATTAGTCTCCTAGACTGAAAGGGTTTTGAAGAAAAATGCTTTTTATACCTCTGATGAAAAAAATAAACAAAAAAAGGACTTGACCTTCTATATATATCTGTGGCTACTCTTGATGTTAGTAGGAATCTCCAAACCCACCTATACATAGGTTTGGACCTGTATTCCTTGTCATCCATAGGAAATCCTTCTTCAAATTCTTCTTTTTCAGTGTTTCAGAATGCTGTGGAGGTAAGGGAAAAATATTGGGGGAGAGCTATTGAAAGTTCCTTATAAAGCCTCCATATACAAGCAGATTATTTAGAATGTAAAACATTATTTTGGAAATGAAAGTATGCTCCAAATATATATTTGTTGTAATTTGATAGCTTAAACCTCGTTTAAAACTTGTTTCATACAGGACATAGACATAATGACTGGCTTAAAGAAATTGCTCCGTATTGTCTGAAAAGCCTGATTTAGAATGATTTCAGTTATAGTTGTCTGAAATATAATCTCATATGCAATTTATATGCTGTTTCTTCTTACCTCTGAGTAAGCATTTAAGAACATTCCCTAGCGTTCAGATAACTGATGTGCAAATGATTTGCTTTCTTTTTCATTTCCTACGGATAGATCAAAAGTGAGAAATAAATATGAACCTTTAGGAAAATAGTAAGAGTGTTATAAAGTGAATTAAGAGTTCTACCATGTATATATCTTCTTGCTCTTTGAGAATTTAGATGCATTTATTTAGCACGACCGTTAGCATCTTTGTTTGCAACTCTAGCATAATAATTAATTTTAGTTCGGGTCCTTCGTTTAAGTCTTAAATCAGTACTATTTTACAGCTTCCATAGTTGTTTATGTTTGCACACAGTGAGTATATTCAGCATTGTGTTTTTCAATTGCTCTTCGCATGTGCAAGTGACTACATAGGGTGACAAGGCAATCGGGTCCCTAGGGTGGCACAGATTAGTACAGAGGATCATTAACCTGACATGTACTACATAGGTGGATTTTATTCTAAATTATAGTAAATCGGCATTTGGCTATTGTCACAAGATCACATGCACAGCCTGATAACAGCTGCAATTCTTAAAACAGAAGTTATGTGAAATGTGAAAACTATAGAAATCTGATACAGCATTTTCCCTGGATAAAGACATTTTGGAATGCTATTGTAGGAGAGCTGCTATTGTAAGTCTTCCCTAGCAAATAAAGTAGCTTTTTTATAATCGGCATGCCTCAAGGCTAATTTCTTTTCATTCCTTCTATAAATGAGTTATTCATACATTGATACAGAATACTGCTATTACTATGTTAACTGCCTATTTCTTCTAAAATTATATGTGCAGCTTCAGTTGCAATTAAACCAAGATCTAGGCATCTTGCATCAAGATGATGGCTCATCAAAAAATAAAAGAGGAGTTCTTCCCAAGCACGCTACAAATGTGATGAGATCGTGGCTTTTTCAGCACATAGGGGTAAGGACTAAACATGATCAGGAGTCACAGGTTTTTGTGTAACTCTTATGTGGTCTGTTATGATTTTGCTTCATAAAGAAGGTGAATTTATTCTGTTGTCATTTGTGTAATCTCAGTTCAGTTTTCGCTGAAGTCATCTGGAGTAGTTCCACAGTCAAATGTTGGTTGATTTTATTATTATTTTAATAAGTATGTTACATTTTTACCTCATGATCTCAATAAACATTGTTAAAAGGGATCTTTCTTCATTTCATTGTGTTGAGAACTTAATGCTCTCTACACCCTGGTTCATAGCACAAGGAAAAATAATTCCATCTGTGTTTTGTGGGGTGTTTTTGTAGAGGAGAATTTCAAATTTTCTGGCTTTATCTGCTTTCCAACAATCCTTCTAATGTGTACCAAATGTGTTAACTATCTACTTGCGCTTTCAACAGAATGTCTTTCCTTTGCATAAATACTTAGCCTGAAAGGATAAATGGGTCTCAAGTTATATCACAATATTTAGTTGATTGATATTTTGTCTTTTACAACTATTTTACAACAGACAAACGATACAGGGAAACTGCATGTACGCTTCTTATGTTACGTACACTCTTCATCCGTTTAGTTCAGAGTAGCTTTATTTAACTGGAAAATGCTTGTCAGTACTCTCATATGACATTGCCTTTAGACAGCATAACTAATCAGATCGTATCACATGCTGTGTTGCCCAGGGATCATGCTGTTTAATAAAGACTGTCAGCCATGAGAAGCTTTTTCTTCCGAATTACACATCAGCAGTTAAATGGTATCATACACACTTTCAAGGATAAAATCAGTTTTGTGTAGTAAAGCACTCTTTGTTAAATGATTTTTATCTATAAAAGTTTGTGAGGTTTCTAAAGTTTGTTTTTTAACAAGTCAGATGGTCTTAATCTAGCAGCTTTAATCGGTTGTAATAAAGGAGTCCTTATTTTTGATGAGGAGATGAAACAAGCTTATGCCTTTTTTTGTTTGCTTTTTTTGTCCTGTTTAGCATCCATATCCAACAGAGGATGAGAAGAAACAGATTGCAGCACAAACAAATCTGACACTACTCCAGGTTAACAATTGGTAAGAGCAAAAACTCTTACTTAATGTCTGTCATTGTCTCAACTTGCTTACAACATAGAGAAATCGTTAAGAGTATAACTTGGACATCTGGAGTTGAACTTACTGTTCTACATATGTTACAAAATACGTATAAAAATACAAGAATTATGCACTGATACTCAAGCATATTATTTTTATAGTAAGGTATAATAATACTTATGCCATTTTAAATTATATAAGGACTCCAGAAAACTTTGCAACATTAAGGAATTGCATTCTGTTCTATTGCTGAAAGAGATGGAAGTACTCTCATGTCTCTTCTGCAAGTAAAGAAATTGAAGTTTAAAGACGTTTAGTGACTTGAAGCTCTGAAAAGTGTTCTCTGGTAATCATGGGTGCAAATGTTTAAGAAGTTACTGTCAACAGATACTCATTCTGCTCTTGTATCAAAGGATGCTATCCTCTGAGCAGTGATGTCCAAATGGAGAGTGTCAGTACTTCCACTGCTCTAGTTCATGGTTCAACATGTTTTAGCATCTTATCTTCACTAGAGGTTTAAGATAATACACCTGCCCCTGCAGAAGGAGGAGCAAGGGTGCTGACATGCATCCTATTCTGGTTGTGGTATTGGTTCCTAAAATTATTGCAGCTAAGTCCAACAGGGATCTTCCTCAGATTTCAAAGGTGACGCTGGCTGCATGGCTGCAGAGGGGTCCAGTGGGGAAATACTCAAGACAGTGGCAGTACACTGGTTCCAAAAGCAGAACAGTGTAACTATGCCTGTGTGACACGGTAGTAACGGAGCTCTGTGGTACTGGGATCCAACTAATGTCTCTGCAAAGCATTGCATTACACCATGTGGACCTGCCAGCTGCACCCTACTTCCTTCCATTGCAGGTAAAGATGGGTCCTGGATGTGTTTTGTCAGATGTAGCAAGGGATGCTACCCTCAGTCACAGGTCCTTGCCACAGCTAGCTACATTGAAATTGATTCAGTTAACTGCTGGTAGCTACGTGAGACGTGGCTTAAGTATTTTCTTGTTCACTAGCAGAAAGGGGAAGGGCAGCAATTAGCATGCTGAAGTAAAAAAGTGAAAATCAGGGAGCAAAAAGGAACTGGGAAAGATCTGAAAAATGTGTTTGCTGTTGTCTTCTCGATCAGGAACCAGACCTTGGAAAGCCAGCGAGCCTATAAAATAAGTAATGCGGGAGCTTAAGGAAGTAAATGAAACCAGACCAAACAAACTAGGTTAGACAGGGGCTAGATTTTAGGTGAACCCTAATGAGAGGAGTATCGGCTTTCTGAGCTGTGCTGTCAGCAAGTTTTCTGGTGCTTAGTTTTTAATAAGATCTTGAAATGTACATCTGTCGTGCTGTCTGGAGAATTTCCCCTTCTGAGGTGGGGGGAAAAAATGCTGCTAGCAGCAAAATGATAGAAGTACTTTCTTAGCTAGTTTCCCAAAATCAAAGGATGCCAGTGTTCTAGGAGCAGCTTTACACATTAAAAAGAATGTCATGCCAAGCTGGTAGAGAGATTTCATAGTCCTAATTTTTTTCCGCCACTGCATACTTTGTGAATCTGAGAGAGAATTTACAGCCAACTGGTCATAAGTACTTGTTGCCTTTGATTGTGTTTAGGTTTATCAATGCTAGAAGGCGAATTCTTCAGCCGATGCTGGATTCCAGTTGTTCTGAAACTCCAAAAACAAAGAAGAAAACAGCTCAGAACCGACCGGTTCAGAGGTTCTGGCCTGACTCCATTGCCTCAGGAGTTGCTCAGCAGCAATCTAACGAGCTCACGATGTCAGATGGTAAGGAGAACCGGCTAAACCACAGATTATAAAGTTAATTTCTCTGTAACAGAGAAATGAAGGGTTTGATGCCTTTGGGGAGAGGGAACTTCTTGATATTTCACTGTAAATGTGTTTTTAATCTGGAAAAACACAACAGAAATGGGTCAATTTTTCCCTCTTTAAAAATGTTCTGTGTTTCGGGGGCGTATTCTATTGGAATTTATGTTGAGAGACTGATGCTTTTGTTTCAAAAGTTACGAAACAACAGAACAAAGGTTAGATGTACAACTAAGTTCTCTCAGTATACTGTGTATGCACATCAGTAGCATTCTGTTTGATTAGCAGTATTGGTCTGCAATTTCAGTTTCGTGACTCCCCATCCTGTTCACATTCCTTTCACTATTGCTAGAGGGACTGAGCATCTGCAATTCTATGTATGCCTCGTGTGTCAAGTTGAACATTGAGAAGCAGAGAAATGTAATAGAGCCTCCAAAGACTTTGACTGAAGTAACTTCCTTAGCATCAGATCAACCAAACAGACTCAATTTAAGAAAGATAAATAACTGCTTTAATCTCAGGACCATCCTTTCTGTCCTGCTGCTTTATTCCTTTCCAGTTTGTAGCAACTTTTCCCTCAGCCTCCGCTGGATCTGACAACAGCTTTATCCCTTTTAAGTCGCTTTGAATCTCTGTGAACACTCCCTTTTTTTTGCAATGCATTAAGCTGGAATACTTCGCAGAAATGGTCTTGTGATGACTTGATTGGAGAATTGCTGTAATGGGTGTCCATAACACACCTAAGTTTAAGATTCCTGGCCAGCTTAATTCTGGCATTTCCTGACATTTAAGTGTTTGACAACCTATAAAGCTTTTATTTTAATTTAGTTCCTTAGGTTTTCTTCCTGTTGATTAGAAACAAACTCTGTTATATATAAATATGTGTTACTTAAAATTAGAAACCAAGAAAGATGCTAAAGTACTACGATTGTGCTTCTCCAGGTGCTGTTGTAACAATTACAGCTCCAGTCAACATGAATGTAGACAGTCTCCAGTCTTTGTCATCCGATGGTGCTACTTTGGCTGTTCAGCAAGTTATGATGGCAGGGCAAAGTGAGGATGAGTCTGTAGACAGCGGTGAAGATGATGGAGGAGATCTCTCAACAACAAATATCAGTGGGCTGGTCTTGGATAACAGCGATTCTCTGCAGTAGGAAGCAAGAGAGTGTGACAAAATGTTTAGGAAAAAGAATGGACTGACTGACTGTTTTTATAGTTTGCACAGCAAACATTTTACACAAGTTTTATTTCTAATATGTTTTATATGTAGATATAGAAGGGTGCACTTTTTTGTATTACATAGTAAGCTTAAAGAGTGTTTTTGCAGGTGCAGCAACTTCTTTCAAATGTGTTTTTTCATTTCTTTTCCTTTTCTTATTTCAGAAAATTGTATCTAGTAATATAAAGAACCACATAAGCACCCCTTTGTTCTATGAATTGGAAGTGCTGCAATTTCTAAAGAATTATGCAGTTTCAATTAGTGCTGTTATTTAACACAGCTCTTGATGGGCAGGTGATGTAAATTTAAAGCATGTGACACTAGTGTGTGGAACTTGATCATTAAGTTGGATGCATATATTTGAAAGATGCTTCTGCACCTTAAAAACTGCTAGTCTGAGGTGGACAGCAACACACATAAAAAGAAAATGTTGATGTGTGATTCAGTAGCGAATGTATGGCAATTTAAATAAGTTTAGTTTCTCTCATAGTCCGTGAGCCTGTTTATCATTTGCTATAAAAACTCCTATTTTTACCTTGCCGGGGTTATTGGATAAAAAATATTTTTATAAATTCACTAGGAATTGGGATGACGACTGTATTAAGCAGGAGGAAAGAAAAAAAAAAAAAGAATTTCCAGAGGGGAAAAATAAATGGTTAGTATTCCTATTTGGAAGGTCTGAAAACTGACCAAATTTAATAATCAAGCCTACGCTAGCATTCTATGATTCTCAGCTGTCCCACAGTGATATACTATATTTGATAATAGCATAAGAAGGGCCCACTGTTTGATGGGATTTTGATATTGTCAAACATTGATTTATATTATGTGTAAACTAATATTCAAATTACATTAACTCTGTATCTAGACTTGTATCTGAAGATATTTGCTAAATGAGTATTCAGGTAAGTAAATTCAAATACCCACAACTTTTCCAGTTATTAGAGAAATTTAACAGTTTATAGTTTGTACAACTGAATCTGAAAAATGAAAAGTTGCCTACTATACAGTCATGAATTCTGCTATCACTCTGCTATTTTATTGCATTTGAAATATTTTCCCCTAATACAAAAAGAAATATAACATATGGATTTTTATAAAATTTCTTCAAATCTGAAGGTTACTACCAGAATATACAGCAGGCTTTATTAGAGTAGAAAATCCTTGTGTGTCATTTAAAAACTAAGAGCTAGTCATGAAAACACTTTTTTTTTGTGGTAACAGTTCATTTCTTTTTTTTCCCAGAGTTTGGAGTCTGTGTCTGTCTATCCATAAACACTTACTTTTGAACTTTGTATTTCCCGTTGTTAAGTACAAATAACAGACTCCAAGAGTCTCACAGTAGTCTCACAGTAAGATCAATGTCCTCTTTTCCCCCCGTCCATTTGTCACAATGTTGGGTTAGATCAAAGCCAGAACTCCCTTCTGATTTAGACCAAATCTAGTTCAGTTCTAACGTGACAGGGAAAAAGATGATAGCTTTTAGAATCTTTAGACACTGTATTTGAACAAAGCCCTTTGACAGATGCAAATATTTAATTGAATACTTAATTTCTGCTTCACAAAACACTTAGGCATGTGCTTAGGTCGCATTGATTTCAGTAGGATTAGCACATGTACTTTTTGACGTGCTTAAATGGTTGGAAGCTGGTCTTTAAAGATTGTCTTCCAAGGCAAGTATAAGTTGGTATGAAGAGAAACTTCAGAGAGGAATGTCAGTAGCATTGGCATACATACGTGGCGAATAATACTAGTTTTCAATGACTAGTAGCTATTTTGAAGAATTGGCGTTGGGTTTTACTTGGCACAAGTGATGTTTCTGCTATGGCTCTTGCTTATTCCTGGCTGAGGATCTTGCTTCTTAGTTCAAATGCTGTAGTGATCTACGCCAGCTGGAGTGGTAATCTAAAGACTTTGTTTTCTTCTAACTTCTCTGCTTTGCCACTGATGTGCAATGTTTGTTAAAGAGCACAGTAAATTAATAATGAAAGATCTAATTAGGAAAGCTTTGACATAGCATAACTGTCTCAAAGGCTATTGTCAAATCCAGTTTGACCCCAAAACATTTAAAAAGACTGACATCATGTACAAATCATGCTCCTTTGGAAACATTCAACCTGCTGCTCCTACAAAGGATACCTGAGATGACTAGAACCGAGAGACAGATTCTGTAGTTTTCTTTTTAGTTGTTTTTGATTTAACTCCGTAAGTGCTTCATCACCCCCACAGTTTCCATTATATAGTAGGTTATATTTGTTGGTTTGTTTGGGGTTTTTATTCAGCTACCCTTGTTCATATTTAATAGTGCATTAATCTTTGTACTTCTAGCACGTAGGCAGATGAATAGTGTACTTCTCAGTGCGTACAGGCCTACGGACAAATACGTGCTTTTCCAAATCAACCTATGCTGGAGGAACAGGCCATTTCTCACGATCTCCTTTCCCTCCCTGACCAGTTGTTGCTGCCTCAGATCTACCAGCAGAGCTTTCCCCAGCCTGCTTTGAGGTAGTCTAGGAAGCAGCTCAGCCGGCAGATCTGTTAGGGTAGCAAAGTAGCCAGCAGTGAAGGGAAGGGTAAACCAAAATGGGCAAAAAAAACTTCTGTGGTTTGGAGATAATGTGGCAATGGGCGTTTGCCCACACTTCAAAACTGTGAGAACTGAGATCTTAAAAAGAGAGAGGGTATTAAAACATCTATACAGCTGGCTGGAAGAGGGTTCAGGAATATGTAGTTTATGTGCCACTTGGAACTCAATTGGAAACAACCAGGCATCAGGTTTTGCAAACTTCTGAAAGCTTATTTTTCGGAAAGAAACCGTTATCTGGTTAGCTTGCTTATTCCCCTCACCTTACATGCAGCTGAAGCTTTATTCTGAAACATTTGCGACCTTGTCTTCAGCTAGTTTATCAATACCTGGAAAGTGAAGTTGACAGAATTTACTGTGAAAGGGGGAATGTGGAATAGTTTTGCTGTCAAATTAGAAACATAAAAACATAAGGACGTGGATTCCTAAAACTGAAAAGGCTTTACCAGTGTAGTCAAAGGTATCGCTTAACATACAGAACTCAAACCTTGTCTTTTAATTCAGTGAGAATTCTGTAGTGGGTATGAACTGCACAGAAGTGCTTGTTCTTTTCACGATTTAAAAAAAAAAAAAATAATAAAAAAAGCATCCTTTTTTGCTGTGTAATAAAGATTGCTGGTTTAAGCAAAGCATCACTATTCAGGAAAGGTACATGTTTACAGTAGTTAAAAGTCTTTATAGGGGACCTAACTTTAAACCCATGTATCATTTCCCCCGCCCCCAATTAAAGTCATGTTCATATGCAATAGAACTAATTTGTTTTTAAAATCAGTGTAATTCTTCTGCAATTATGCTTATTGAAGCTTTTAATTTTTTTTTTAACGTAATCTAGATCATTAACCCAAAACAGGGTTCTCAGTCCAATTTTTCCAAGATTTCTGTAACAGGCAAGGCAGCTTCCTGTTGTTCTTTAACTTTAGAAACATTGCGTTTTAGCGAATCAATTCCAAATTGATCAGGATATATTTTTAAATGACTGTTCCAAAGAAATAATCTTGTTGGAAAACATTTGGAATCGACAGGCATGGCTCTGGCTCTGCAGAGGGTTTCCTAGATGTGGATATTGGGTCAAAGTGGAGTCCTGCTGACCTCAGGGAAACTCCGTAAGGCTGCATGTCAGGCTGCATGTCAGCCTGCATTTACCTGCAAGAGAATTGGTTCCTTGTTCTGGTCCCTGATCACTATTAGGAACTTCTGTGGAGCCCTCCAACTTCATCGTGCCTGCATACCTAGGTTTTGTTCCAGTGGAAACCAGGGTATGGACGAAGGGCTTAGAAGGGCAGGAATGTGTGTTGACCTGGTGTGCGCCACAGACCATTTTGATGTTCAAAATATGGCCGGAAGGCAGACCTACACTGAGGAATTAGAGTTCCCAGTTCCTGTGCTTTAAAAGTAGCTTCAGGTTTATCGATATTCTAGTGGAGTAGGGCCACAAAGACGTAATGCATGAATAGTATATCTATTTGTTTCTCTAATCACATGGAAAAAGAATTAGAAGGCAGCTCAGCTTCCTGACTTTATGAACTTGACAGCCCAAAGGATGAAACAAAGCCTTTCCAAGGGATTATAGTTTCATAAAACCGTTAGACTTGTAGCACTTAAAACAAACAAACAAAAAACCGAAACACCCTGGTATTTTGAAAAATTGGAACACATGCATTTAATTGTAATTCAAGTTGATTTAAGACTTATTTTCTGAAGCTGAGTCGTCTTGGGAGAAAAAAATGAATAAGTATTTGTCTATGCAAGACACAAATGTCAAAAATGTGTGAATTGCCCATTTTTAGGTGCTGTATTGTTATTGTCTTTCTGACTTCTGTTACTTTGATTAGTCTTTTAAACCTTTCAGCCTTATATTCAGCTTAGTTTTCAGAGTTGAATAGGCAAAATGTAGTTTTGAAATCCTGTTGGAAATGTAACTAACCTTCATTCCCTCATGAAAATCTCGCGTGTTAAACAATTAAGTGAAATGTTTTGGTTTTCTAATAATAAATTCAAACTCGCACCACCTCCTAAAAACAGAGCATATCCATGAAAATGCAGGTTTAATTGTAGCGTGCAAACGATCAAATCATCAGCCTCGTGCTGAATGCACTTTGCTGTTCGGTGTGGCTGAAGAGTAAAGCAGGTTGGTTCTGCCAAACTCAAACACAGTGTGGATTCCTTCCCCCTCACCACCCTTGGCTTGCTAACCTCCTTCAAACAGGTTTTGGGTTGTTTAATTTTCAAGTCCTAAAGTAACTTGATCATCCAGTGTAAAGTGTAGTGAAATTGGCACTAATGTGCTTTTAAGTGATTGCCCAAATCATGTTATTTGTTCATTCTTGTCACCTGGAAATATAAAATCTGTTTCCTTTTCTGTGACGTAGTTCTTTAGGACCTGCTGACTGATCACAGCTGCTTTTGCCAGAGAAAAGCAAGGTGCGAGAAAGCAGTGAAACGCCTTACCAACCTTGTAGGCTACTATAAAGATACTGACTTCATGTTAATAGAATCCAGCGTTTTCAGGTCGTGACAGAAGTCGCCCATAAATCTCTCCATGGGTTAGCAACATTTGGTCCATACAATCGACAATCTTTAAAATGTGAACCCTGTGACTTTTTTTTTTTGCCTTGGTTGTTAAGGGATTTTGAAGCAACTGATCTATCAAGGGATAAAATTAAAAATCAGAATATGCTTCATGGGTGGTTTATTTTTACACTACTGTTCTCTGTGAGCTGAAAAAGCACATTTTTAAAGCAAAGCATTCGCATTACTTTAACATTAGCAGTATTGTTTGGCTGAAAGACGAGTTATGTTTTCAAGAAATCTCGAGCATAGTTTCAAACTAGTTAACCAGTTCTTGGCCAGGGACAATCCTTGGCCTTTTTATTTGTTTGAGTTTTCTTTTTTATGCAAATGAAGAAAAACGTTTACTAGTTTTTACCAGTGTGGGGATTTTTATTACGCTTTTGTCATGCAGGAGCAGCTTCGATGAAAGAAAGAATTAGCAGGTAAATGGTCCATAATGTGTGTGACTTTGGGGGTTTTTTTGTTGTTGTTTCAAAATTGTTAATTAAAATGGCATGGACATCAAACTTCCAATAATGGTTCCAAGCATATATGGTAGCGACTTACTTGAAAAGACTTCCCCTTGTGCGAGTCCCGTGTGTTAACGTGTTTAGCCAGATAGCAGATACAAATGCAACGCATTTGTAAAATATTACCTTGTTCTACTAGATCAGAAATCTTCAGGGAGTGAGCAGCCTTTTTATTACAAGGCAGCGATTCCTCTTTAGCAAGAAGCTCAAACTCGTTTCATCCAGTGTGTATGAGTCTTACTCAGCAAAGATGGAGACAGACCTGGCTGCTCTGAAGGTAAGGTGTACTTCTGCTCAGCACTGAAGCATGATTTATTCCTACTCTTCGTTCCCCGGCATCTGGCACGGTGACGTCCAGGTGTGATCCCCAAACAGTACAGCCCGGAGCCCAGTACACCTGGCTGAAGGGGTGCGGCGCATGGCTGTGCTGGCTAGGGCTGGTACAGCCTCCTGATGCCGTGCCAGATTTTTACAGCTTTTTTTACTTACGCCAGAATACGTCCCCAAGGATTTTGAATCGTATTTTGTTTTTAAAGGGTTAATCTGTGATTAACGGAGTAGTATGTGTTCTAGACACGGGGGTATTTGGTCATTTCTTTGTCTGACATTAAAAGAGCGCCTGAGAATAACTCCTGGTGATACCGTTGGAAATAGTTTTAACTCCACTGCTGCCAGGGAGCAATTTTTTCCTTAATCTGAAGAGAATAAAAAACTAACCAACCAACCAAAAAAGCCTGTAAAGCAGATTATTTCACCTAAATTATGTCCAGTATAGTGTATTCCTAGTCCGTCGGTTTCAAATTCCCCTGAAAGATGAATCCCCTTCTTCAAGAAGGCATTACAGGAGTTACCGGCATAGTCATAAGCAACTGGTGAGCCTGTTTGCTTTTGTGGAGCACCTGTTTACAAAGCAGTAATCCTTCAGTATGCAGCTTAGGGCTGTTTCTAAATACCCCTCTTTGTAGAAAACCAGGGCAATATACTCAATGCTAAAACGAGGGAAAATAAACTCCACGGGCAGTGTAAAATGAGGATGCTGCAAAAAGTAACAGATAAGGCTGGGACGCATAGTAGGTGCTGCATTATTTATTCAAAATCCATATTTAAATTCATGCAAGTTCAGAGTGTATGTCATGCAAGTATCCAAGGTATGCAGGATTAAGCCTGTGGTGTATTTAAAAACCAAAATGACATCACAAACCACTGTTTAGATACCCTACTAAAATCCGAAAGCAATGTGACCTTCATAGGTCAGCTTTGGTTGGTCTTCCTCATGCAACTAAGATGTGATCTAGAGTTTATGAAGTAATCAGGGAAAATCTCCTATGGATATTTGTCATCTCTGTTGGTCTTTGGACTTCTGTGTCACTACTAGCACAAGGCAGGCGATTAGGCCCTTGGACCTACTCCTGACCCTTATTCCTAGCACGCTTTTTGTTAAGTTGATCGCCGAGTCCTAAACTGATGCATATACTAAATGTGGATGCGGTAATAAAATTTAATTTAGAGACATTTTTGTTAAGATCCAAGCATTTTTAAACCTAGATTTTTTTTTTAATAGTTGTGAAAAATATGCAGCTCATACTTAAAAAGCTAGTGATTGACTTATGCCATTTTTGCTGTGCCCCACCCCACCCCCCGCAGCCTTTCTCTACGAGCTACACACCGCAGAGACTCTCCTGAATGTCTAAACGTTCATCAAAATATGTTTACTATGCACTTCTGCGTAGCTCCGTTTATAGCCTTGTTTGGTCTTGCAGATTTAGGCCGCTTGCTTTCAGCAGAGGCTAGCACACAGAAAAGACGAGGGGACTTAATTATATGTGTGATGACATAAGCAAAATCCATTACTGCACAGGTGCTGATTTTTCTAAGATATTTAGGAGTATATACGGTTCCGTGGGTGAGATCCAAATTAAGGCCAGGAAGGGGGGAGAGAGCGCGAGCATTTCTGTTACTGGTGTCTCACTGTACTTTTATATTGGAACAGGGCGGGGGGGGGGGGTCGTTTGTTTGTTTTTTGACAGCTGATTCTGATTAACTTTCTTAACTCGGTATGATAGCTGGATTGAGACCTGAAAGCTCTTGGAAAATTCACCAAATGAAACTCGGAGATTTTGAGGAACTGGGTTGGCATTTGTTAGACAATACCTGCGCTGCCTTTTCAGCTTTTCAGATGCTGGGGGAAACGCTACTCCTGACTCACTTGTAAACGCAGTGACGCTTCAAGCAGCTACAGAAATAATAATTTTCCTCCAAGATTCTTCATTCTGCTTTCAAACAACCGTTTTTGTATTCCTGTTCGTGGTTGTTTTTTTTTTTTTTTTCTCCCCCCTCCCTTTCCTTGAAAGCTGGCACCAGTTAATCCTTGATTACATGCCCTAGGCTTTTTCTGTGTCTCTTGAGCTTTTCAGCTGTGAATAGTGTTGAATAATGACTCCGCAAATCACTCCAAGATTCAAAGCCAGCTTTGCTG